CGGGTCGCGACCAGAGTCGCGGAACGAATTAAGTTCGTGACCCGAGGTACCACTGTATATGTCCTGAAAAATGGGAGGGGAGAGGGAATGCCAGCAACTCATTAGGTTTCCTTTCTCTGTGGAGTGGGTGGGAGAGAATTACTTTATGACCAGAAGTAACTAAGGGACAATGCTACTGTTCTTTGCACTCTCCTATGGTCAGCTGGAGGAAAAGAGGCTGAGCACTAAGTTCACAATATTCTCTACAAGCATTAGATTTGCAATGATGATATATACACAGTATATATCCTGTATGGTATTTTCAGTTATACTGACTGATATCAGGAGGCAATATGTGACTAGTTCCATCCTTACTGGGAATTGTCAGTTGTACATAGCCAGATCTTATTCTGTGCGGTTCAAACCCTCTATCAGGAATTGAACTCTGTTCATTATTTAGGAAGCTCCATGAAAACCATGTCGTATTTTCTGAAACAACTCTCAACAATTCTGCTCTATCTTCTGCCTAACAGCTGTTCAGATATTCGAATAAAGCTATCATATCTCTTCATAGTTGTCTCTTCTCAAGGCCAGACATACCCAACACCTCCCAGCCATTCCTCATAAATCCCTTTCAGGCCCCTTGAGATCATGGTTGTTCTCCTGGACATTCTCAAGTTCGTCAATGTCCTTTCTAAATTGCAGTGTCCTAGTTGAGACCTGATCAATGAGATATCCTTGTCTAGACACTTTTTCATAACAATCAAGAGAATACAAAACCCTACCCATCGTCATCTAAGAAGGTTACGTAGGCCAGGACAGAGGTAAGAAATGAGATATAGTATCCAGCATCTTCATTCAAGAAATCTCCAATCATTTCTATTGCCCCTCGGCTCAGATTTCCTTCTTTAATTAAATATTCCTGTTGAAGATAAATGGGAATTGGTGGAGGGAAAAAAGTACAAATGCTTCCTTTTTCCTTTTTGAATCACAGCTAATCCCAATAGATAATTCTGACTCATCTCCAACCTCCTTTTTTGGGGGAAATGTAGGAAGCCATGAAAATTACTTTGGCGAAAATATTCAGAAGTCATTACAAAAGCAAAAAGTGTAGAAGCACGCCTTGAGCCCTGGGAAAGGAGAAAGTATTAGGAAGAGACTTGGGCTGGCTCTTCTCTGATTCCCTGGGTGATATGAGGAAGGGAAGGGAAAACTTGCAAGATTCTGTTAATATATTCTATCTCAATAAAACATTGTTCTAATCTTCTTGTAGTTGTCTTAGTTATCTCTCCTTTGGACTACTACAATGCACTCTTAATGGGGTTGCTCTTAAGACCACTTTTACCTGAGCTGGACAACCTCAAGTGGCTGACAGGAAGATTGGTGGGAAACTGTTAGCGTCTTAGACCAAGCCAAATGTAAAAATGCTAGGGAATTTCTGGAAGCTTGGCATTCAGACTAATCAGCCATCAATAGACACATAGAGATAAACCATAATTACACACCATTCAAAAGAGACAATAAAAATACTAAGAAGGAAACAAAAAGACCAGAACACATCCTCTCCAGCAGCCAACACCCAGATAATCTGGGATTAACACCAGACAAACAAGCAAACAAGGAAGCAGAGAACAATACCCTAATCAAGGAACTACCAAGGAGAAAACCACACCCCCACCAAAACTGGCAGGGCAAGCTACTGTATGCTAACTTGCCCTTGTTGTGGGGGAGCAAACCCCACACTTACTGGCACTGATGATGTTACTGAGTTAGGTAATGAAATGTCTGCAAGCAAACAACCAAGCTCAGAGAGCACCAAGGACTCCACAGTTCCACCCTGAGCTACAGATCTTCTCTTCTAATGTCATGTTTTGTTCCTGGAGAGTTGTATCTTTTTATTTTTGCTTTTATAGTGTGACATTTTTAACCTTGCAAGTGGGCAGCTATTTAAATAACAGAGACAAATGAATACATAAATAAGCATATGCATAACTAGATTATGTTTAAACCACATATTATTCAAACAAACAGATCTGCTTCTAAGCAGATGCTCAACAAACAGTCACCACTCTCATACATTCTTGGGTCTTAAAGGCCCAAACACTTCTCTGTACTTGCTCCTTGAAGTCCTATCCATCCATTTGCATCACTTAACAGAAATCACTTAACAGATCACACTAATTCAGAACGTTATCTAATTTTTCTCCAAATTCATCTCTGATTGTCATCATTCACTGGAGTGTAACATGCACAGCATAACATAGGACTCTTCCCATATGTACCCATATCAACTAGACTAACATCAGTTTATATGGTCTGGCATACATTTTGGCTCTTTCCTTTGTAATTCAAACCACACCTTCACTGCCCACATCTATTCATCAACTCCACAAGATCATGATCATTCAGAACAATTTCCCTTTCTCTTAGTTTTACAATCCTGCAATATATCTATTTTTCTTTCTTTCATTTCATTCATCCATTTATACTCTTTACCATTTAGTCTTCTTACATTTCAAGTCATAATCTTCCGTAACCTGTAATCCTCGCCACTATTATGGCTTGGGTTAACCAAGACTTTTACATAGCACTTTTTAGTACAATAGCGAAGGCGTAGACAGTTCTGGCCAGCATGGTACAAGCACAGCCAAAGCCCAATTTTACTTCATACATGCTCACGCTATTCTATGCGAACTAGGATCAAGAGACTAAGTTGCAGGGTAATATATTGCTGCTTGCATCCAACCAACGAGGAGGCATATGCAATATACTGGCATACATAGGATGCATATTCACCTTGACTAGAAGAAAACCCCAACATATAATTTATTTTATGCTTGAGATTATTTAAAAACATTTAAAATGCTTGAGATTATTTAAAAACAGGCAGATGTCATTGGCTTACCTTGGTGGAATATGAGTCATATTTCATCTTCAGCACTGTGCAGTTTTTTGTTGTCTGACAGGAGTCATGAAAAAGGAAGCAGATAAGAACAAAGAAATACATAAAATTCTCCAACCCCAGTTCTGAATGCCCTCTACTCTCAGCACGCTAGATGGTTTACAGTCATAAAACATTGTAGCAAATGATGCAACTGAGCTATTAAAACTAACACAAAGCATAATATCTGTGTGTGTGTGTGTGTGTGCGTGTGACAGAATATGATTATATATATGATTCTTCTGTTTGGTTTTGTCCTAGCTGTTGATATTTGTTTAGTTGTTGATATTTGTTTAGGCTGTTAAGTTGTGAGCTAATTTTATTGAATGGCATTCTATAATTCCTATATTTTTCTAATTTGTCCTGCGTTTCAGTATCAATAGAGATAGAGATAGAGATAGAGATAGAGATAGAGATAGAGATAGAGATAGAGATAGAGATAGAGATAGAGATAGAGATAGAGATATTGAATGAGACATGACTCACTGATCCACCTGATACGGATCTACAGCGAGGACATTGGGATGTCATTTGGGCTGGAGAAGTGTGGCTGGATGGTAGTAAAAAGAGGGAAGGTAGCTAAGTCCGATGGGGTGGAACTACCAGTGGGCCACATAGCAGACATAGAGACCAGCTACAAGTA